TTCCATCAAAATGCACTACTAGAAAACAGCCTTTTACGACGCGCAAACAATGACACGCGGTGATTTACGATACGCAAAACTGGGCGCTCTTAAAATAATGTCATCTCTTCTAAAATTTGAAGGAAAAGGCGCGCTTTTGTGCGTGCCCTAAAATTAATGTCCAAAAAAAAAATTAAAACACGGAGGGCACTTATTTAAAAATGGGCGTCGTCTAGAAATGTCGCTTTATATTTTTTTTAATGAAAGGCGCGTTCTTTAATTTTGCAGCTGGGGGGAAACGAAAATCCCAAAAGTTTGAAAGGCCGCCATTGTTATCCTCTACCTTATTTCGTGTTTTCTTTTCTATCTCTCTTTATATCTCTCTCACTCTAATACCCAAAAAAACCCTAATTTCATCACCACTCCTCTTTTCTCCCGCAACAAAATCGCAATATCGCCAAAAATCTATGATCCCGTCTTTTGAACAGATCAAACCCACAGGGGTTCTCGATTTCTCTATGTTGATGTGTGGTGACACGAACAAAAAAGAGTGTAGCGATTCTACCTTTCAATTTCATTTTTCGGATGCTTCAAATCGACTATTGTTTTGTCTCTCACAGGGGTTTCTTTATGCGTTCCCTTCACCCTCATTGATGTCGTTTTCCAAGGCCAGTCTGGATAATCAGCATCATCGGTAAGTGGATGCTTGCATTCTTAACTCCTCTCAACCTTACATCAGCCTCACGTGATAATGTGATTCACGAAACGACGTCGTTTGCTGATGAAAGTTGCCTTCTTGCTTGCTTCCGGTCAGCCTAACATCACATTGAGATGGAAGACTTGGTGGTGGGTTTTCCTTGTGGCTGGTGGAGTTTCTCCCAATGACGCTTTCCACTCTTACATCCCCTTTAATCAACACCTCTTCTTCTTTGCTGCTTACTCACCCTAAATCAGGTAATACCGATACCGACCTAGCGGTGGGGTTTCCTTCTTGACGGTGGTGGAGTGTTTCCCCAAAGCTACTTTGATTCAGTTCATCTTTATATTCTATATGATTAGGGGTTCTTGTTACTAACCAAACAGTAGCCAGATGGGGAAGAAGCATCAGGGGAGGTAGGAGGTAATCATAAAAAAGCGACTTCAAACTGTTACACTTTCTGCTCTTATTATTATACTAACCAAACATTATGAATTTGTTGTGCAGATAAAATCTTCCTATGGAATCTCAAGGAATCTTTTAATTAAATTCAAAGATGATACGATTGATCCACCTTAGCTCAGGTGCTTAGCTCAGAGTCTACCATTAGTTCAGTGTTGGATATGTCAATTCGTTCACTCCCTGGTGATCATGGACTTCCTTTACAACAGGTTTCGCTATTGTTGTTTCTGTTTGACTTATTGACTTAATAATATATCTTGTGTTGTAATTTGTAAACCTATTTGCATTGATCAGGCTTTGCCAGATGTCCCACAGGGAATGGTGGATGCTGTAAACAGGGGTGGAGAGCTATTTTCAAATTTAACTGCAGGGACACTTGAACAGATAACTTAAATGTTCCAAATGAGCAACTAAAAATCCCAAAATCTCCCCCTATGAATGATGAATTGAGAGTCTCAACTGGCTCAAGAACTCTTGAACCTGTTGCATGTAAGTAATATTGTTTCTTATTCTTTTACACTTTTTAAAACAATCTAATTTGGTTTAAATATTTGTTCAACGACTTTTTGCTTTTTCCCAAATTTTTTTCATTGTTGTTTCATTTTAGAGTATAACATTAACATATGCCCGAAAGATGCATCATTTTTTACCTGTTACCATGGTTGTGGAAAAACTGAAATGTTGTTGTTGCATAAATGACCATTTTACCCTTGTGTTATACCTTAAAAATTAAGTGCCACAAACGTTTGCTGCAGCAGAAGGTGTGATTCGAGGAAGATCATACAACATTAGGCTTGATGACCAAGTTCTACTAAGATTCTCAGCCACAAAACCTGAATCAACTTATTACTTTGGTGATATGGTAAAAATAAACCTTTGTAATTGTTTTTTGACTTAATTTAGACAGAATAGCTTACTGGGTTAAGCAAAAAACTTGGCTTAATGTATTTGGGCACTACTTGTTTAGCTATTTACATTTACACCCCCCCCCCTTTTTTTTTTCCTCCAGACAACTCCTCTCATGTTCTCCCTTCATGGTGGCCTAAGAAGGTTTTATTATTTTAACGATATTTTTCTTATAGTTGGATTTGAAAACTGAAGTCTAATAGCTTCTTAAGATCAAAACTAGTGTAAAACCTTCTTAGGTTAACATATTTGTTAGAGTTGAAATTTATTCACAATCAAAACAATTCGTAACTACTATGTCCGGTTAAAATTACTATTAATAGTATTTATGATTAAATTTCATGATCAATCTAAGTTGCTAATCTTATTGTAATTAAATATATTTTCATCTGTATTGTTATTTATAGAAAGTAAAATCTGATTTATAGCTGTTCTTAAATAAAGTCATCTGTTATTTACCATCATTTCTATATAGGCTAATATGTTCATTTACTCATTTTCCGACGGTTCATTCAGTATGGCACTTTATTCAGACATACATCATTACCCATTCAACCTATTTTCATTGTTAAAACTACTATTAATAGTATTTATGATTAAATTTCATGCTACTTTTTTTGGGTACAATTCTCTCTTTTTTTTGGTGGACTTATGGATTTGACTTGATGGCAGAAAGGAGATAGAACTCTGCCTCATGAACTAGTACAAACTATTGCTCCACCTCCCCTTGAAGTACAGTTGTAATAGGTGGCTTCCCCTGTTGTAGTTTTAACATGGTTAGCTTGAACCAATACAAGCTAACCATGATAGAGCTTCAGTTAGAAGCCCTGTGGAGTCCAATAACAAGGATCTTGAAGCTGTGACTATGTCTGCTGGAATGAACACCATTAAAAGAGAAGCGTATGAGGATAAAGCAACAACTAATGCACAAGCCACACCTACAATAAAGGAAACTCCATCGGTTTCTCCCCCTGCAAAAGAAGAGCAAGGAATTATTGCATTTCCTCCTAAATAGGAACATGAGGTAAATGAGGGTGTAACGTACAAGGGTAAGGCAGTTGCATCAGGACTTGATGTTGTCCCTGAAACTGTCCAATCTAGATTGACTTCACAACCAGGGAACTTACCTCAAACAAAAGATCTGGACCCTTCCAGAAAGTACCATGGTCCGCTGTTTGCTGGATTTGAATCTAGAGAGAAAAAGGATAAGGCCGGATCTTGTTTTGAGGTTACTTATATACCCCTGAATCAACTTATTACTTTGGTGATATGGTAAAAAAAAAATCTCAAACCATCTTATTTTCCTTAATCCATATCCTTTCTTTGGTTGAATTACTTATATACCCCTGTGGATTTCTGATCATAGATAGGTGGAACTCTTACCTTTTTCCACGAGGAAGAAACTAGAAGATGTCTTGAGGTACTAACATAACAAGTATAACTTGAATTTTTTGTTCCATTGACATCAGTACAAGGGTATTTACGTCTTTTAACTCGTTTGGTTCATCTGTTCCAGCTTTCAGTATCCTTGGAGTTATCCGAGACTATAAGTCGTCGCTCTGCACATCCTTCTAGAAAATATTCCCCAACAATTACAAAGGTTTATCATCTGATTCTTTTGGATTTTTTAATTTTATTTAACTTATCTGAATTTATATATACACATATCCCAACAACCATACACATTACATCTCCTTCATCCTTCTCTATTTATTCTCAGAATCAAATCAGGTTTGCTATCTCACTTTCAATAATCATGATTATAATAATAATTATTATATGGGTTATAATAATAATAATAATAATAATAATAATAATAATAATAATAATAATAATAATACATGGATGATATAATTTGTATAATTTGTATTATTGGATTACAAAAAATAACACCATTCCTGTTTATAGTGTGATGAATTGTCCAAGAAAGGAAGAACAATAATGCCAATTGAATTTCTGGTTCCATTTTGTATTATTGGATTACAAAAATAACACCATTCCATTAAAGAGGTACTGTTTAGAATCTTGCATGTATATATGACTATATGTACTTCATACAAGTTTACATGATACTGTTCAATAAATATAGTTACTTTCTACTACTTTGTGACGTTTTTCCCCTAACACTTTAAATAACAGAGCAAGGAGAGCATTCTAAACATTCTGGAAGCTTTAAAAGAACAGGGATATGGGTACATAGAAGATTTTGGAAGTTTTAGTCATGTTTCTTGTAGATGACTTGGTCGTTCACTTTGCAACAAAGCCTCCATCACTTGGTATGTGTTGTTATCTTCTCTATAGTCTTTACTTACACTGATTTTACTCAAACTGGCATATTTCTATCTGTGCTTGTGCTTGACATAACAAGTGCTATTGGCTACTTGTTGTGCCTTTGAAGGGGTATGATTCTCATCGTATCACTGAAGAACATCTAGGTAGAAAAATAATATCACGTTCTGTTCTTCTTTGTGCCTTTGAAACTGCAGGAGATGCTGGAGCCCTTAGAGAACCTAAGGACAAACTGGAGAAGTGAGTTGAAGAGCTAACATGGAGATTAGACTTTGAAAAGCATTTTAGGGTATATTTTTTATATTTCTTGTATCTAATTAGCTTGTAAATTTTTGTTACAACTATTGATTTGTTTTATCTTTCCATGGAACGATTATTTGTATGACATTAAATTTTATATAACGGATTTTATTTTTTGTATATGATATTTTATTTTCTATTATGAGACATTAAATACAAATTTAATTTGAAAATTAGTAAATCTATAAATAATTTTTTTTTAACATTTAAAATTATGATACGCAAAAATGTGTGTCATCTTCATTTATGACATGGCCTTTCTTGACAGGGCTTTCTTGATACGCATTGCGTGTCATTAACACGCACATCGTAAGGTTACGACACGCGAATGCGTGTCGTCTTCCTTTATGACAGGGCCTTCCTTGATACGCATTGCGTGTCGTAAACGTGCGTCGTAATTGCGCGTCGTAAATGAGCGTCGTAAATGCGCGTCGTCTCTCTTTATGACAGGGCCTTCCTTGACGCGCATTTGCGCGTCGTCTGAGCCTTTTACGACGCGCAATGAGCGTCGTAAAAGGCTGTTTTTCTAGTAGTGATGGTACGCGTACCTCCCACGAACGGTACCCAAATACGCCCCTGAAAAGTCATAAGCCCCCGACCATCAGTAACGAACTCCGATACCAATCCAACAACTCGCTCTCTCTTCTGGTTTTCCGACCTCACTGCCTCAGCCTGTGCTCCTCGAATGGTGTCCAACACCGGAGTCATCACGGTCAAACGCAAACACACACCTCGCAACGGGGCACTCTTCGCCCGACGACTCAGGGGTCGGCTACCACATTAGCCTTGCCCGGATGGTACAGGATCTCAGAATCATAATCCTTAACCACATCCAACCACCTCCTCTGCCGCATATTTAGGTTGGGCTGATCCATCAAATACTTCAGACTCTTATGGTCCGTGTATATCATACACCGAACCCCATACAAATAATGGCGCCATATCTTGAGGGCGAACACCACTGCCCCCAACTCTAGGTCATGGGTGGGATACCTTGACTCGTGAGGCTTCAACTGCCTCGATGCATACGCTATCACATGCCCTCTCTGCATCAGTACCGCTCCCAATCCCAAAATCAATGCATCGCAGTATACAACAAAATCCTCCATTCCCTCCGGGAGGGCTAACACCGGGGCCTCACATAACCTTTGGTGAAGCGTCTCAAAGGAAGCCTGCTGCTTGGGACCCCATGAAAAAGCAACACCCTTCCGGGTCAACTTAGTGAGTGGTACTGCGATCTTGGAGAAATCCCTGATAAATCTTCGATAATAACCGGCCAACCCTAGAAAACTCCTGATCTCGGAGGGTGACCTTGGCACTTCCCAACTCATAACTGCCTCCACTTTGGCCGGATCGACCAATATCCCATCCTGGTTAACAAGATGTCCAAGGAACTGGACCTCTCGCAACCAGAAGTCACACTTGTAGAATTTGGCATAAAGCCTCTCCAATCTCAGAACTCCAAGGATCTCCCTCAAATGTTCCTCATGTTGCTCCCTAGATCTCGAATACACCAAAATGTCATCAATAAATATGATCATCGACCGATCCAACATCGGCCTGCATACCTGGTTCATCAGATCCATAAACACTGCCAGAGCATTGGTGAGCCCAAAAGGCATCACCACAAACTCATAATGCCCATAACGCGTCCTAAACGCTGTCTTTTGGACGTCCTCATCTCGTACCCTCACCTGATGGTATCCAGACCTCAAATCGATCTTAGAGAACTAAGATGCTCCCTGCAACTGGTCGAACAAATCGTCGATCCTCGGCAACAGGTAACGGTTCTTGACTGTCAGCTTGTTCAACTCTCGGTAATCAATACACATCCGATGTGAACCATCCTTCTTCTTTACAAATAGAATGGGCGCTCCCCACGACGAGCTACTCGGCCG